GGGGGGGTTGTGGATCATTTGGAGTCCTGGTCCAGTTGTGGCTCTAAAAGAGAAAACAGCAGAAGTCATTTACTGTACATCTGGGAATATATCAATCTTCATTTCATCACTACTTATAACGAGTCTGTGCACTGAGAGATGAAAACATCATGTTCCAGAAGGTAAAAATACATTCATAATCTCCATGAGGAATTGGATTATCAGCCATGACGTATGTCACTGTGACGCCTTTATGGGTTTTTCTTTTTCTCACATCCCTGCTGAAAAACTACACCATGCACTAATCCAAAGTGTGTGACTGTAATCGGCTCCATCAGACCTGACGTTCATCTATATATATACAAACAAAGAGTTTTGGTAAAGATTCCCACAGTTCAGGTTATTGGAGAATTGTGACAAAGAAAAAGAGAGTGAGAGGGAGAGAGAGAGGGAGAGAGAGTAAGAGGGATAGAGAGAGAGAAAGAGGGAGAGGGAGAAAGAGGGGGAGAGGGAGAGAGAGAGAGAGAAAGAGGGAGGGCGAGAGAGTGAGAGAGAGGAAGAGGGAGAGAGAGAGAGAGTAAGAGGGATAGAGAGAGAGAAAGAGGGAGAGTGAGAGAGAGAAAGAGGGGGAGAGAGAGAGGGAGAGAGAGAGGGCGAGTGAGAGAGTAAGAGGGATAGAGAGAGAGAGAGAGAGAGCGAAAGAGGGAGGGAGAGAGAGTGAGAGAGAGGAAGAGGGAGAGAGAGAGAGGGAGAGAGAGTAAGAGGGATAGCGAGAGAGTAAGAGGGAGAGAGAGAGGGGGAGAGAGAGAGAGGGAGGGGGGAGAGAGAGAGGATATAATGTATTGCGTTTTCTTGTTACTTTTGGTCCAATAACAATAACTCTGTGATAAGTTTAGTCTCCGTTGGTAACTTCTTATTATTGATGATGACTGATAAGAAGTTAGACTATGTATCGCTGAAGAATACGTTTATTTCTGCATTTTAAATACTTAATTTATATTAATTGAATCATCAGCTAGTAAACACAAGCTGCAGGTACAGAGGGGTTTTCTGGAACATCTTTGAAGCAAATGAACTGTATATTTAAACCCAGAACCTGCCACTGATCTACATGTTGTGTATAAAGTCATAAGTTCTTTCTCTCTCTCTCTCTCTCTCTCTCTCTCTCTCTCTCTCTCCCTCCCTCCCTCCCTCCCCCTCTCTGTCTCTCTCTCTCTCTCTCTCCCTCCCTCCCTCTCTCTCACCGGTGAAGGTGAACTGAGGGAAGCTGCTCAGGTCTCCTCCTCCATAAAGTCTCTGGAGCTTCGTCGTCTCCTCTGAAAGGTATTTTTCGTAGTCTGGCTCCGCCTCCAACAGTCCTCCATTCAACCTTAAGAGGAAGAGGAGATAGAAGATGAGGGGAATTTAATAAACGTCATATTTTACCTCCAATATTATATCTTTAACTCCGCTTTGCACCCCAAATTTTGGGAAACTGTGCCTCCAGCTGATCTTTTCCCCACTACTGTACACATAAGTGGATACACCATGTGGTGAAATTAATCATTTTAACCTTTAAACAGGAAGTCTCTTGAAATCCATTATCAGCTTTTCAAGAGAGGCTAAAAGGCTAAAACTGCAGCATAAATAATTTACATGAAAATACTCAAAGTCACATGGTACACAGTCAGATTTAAACATTTAGCACAATGAAATAAAACATGAAAGACTTTAAATAAATTCCATTTTAAACAGTTATATTTCACATCACTTCTTTCGTCTCTCTACCTGCGCATGTTGTTGTATTCTTTGATCTTCTCCAGGAAGAGTCTCTGTACTGGATCTAAATCTGGAAAATACATGAAAACAATACTATACTTTATGAAACTATTTAACAATCACTTTTTCTTCTTCACTTGTCCAATTGTCCGATGTGACCTGTGACTGTCTGTATCTGCATGTTTATTTACCCGCGTGTTTCCCTTTTCCATCTTCATCTCCCTCCTCCTCCTCCTCCAGCAGCACCTCCTCCAGAGAAGCATGAAGATCATCTGCAGCCGCTGTTTCGACGTCGACTGACCCGGAGGAAACCGCTGCTGTGGTAACAACCCCAGAAACAGAAGACTGATTCCACGTTATCTCAGTTTCAATCAACACAATCTATTTCTTAAGTCTCCATCAGAGGGTTTAAAAAAGGAATATTTAAACATTTTGCAAATCACGTTATATCTAGTTTGTTTAATCCCTACAGTTTATATCCCTATAGTCTATTAGCATGACTCAAAAAGATCTACGACCACCTCCACCTCCACCTCCACCTTTTGCTCCTCCTAAGGCCTCCACACCTTTGGGAGTCCAAATACCATCCAAAGTATCCGCTGTTACAGCCTCCCGACCGGTTACAGGACCAGGAACGGAAAAGAGCAGCTCCTCCATCAGAGCGTCTACCTCCAGATCTTCAGACAGAGCTAGAGCTTCAGCTTCAGCTGCAGCCAGAGACAAAGCCTCGGTCGCCTCTTCAGACGGCACCACGTCCTCCACCTCCGTCTTCTTCTCTCCGCCGACAAATCCGGCTTCCTTCTCCAGGTAACTCGTGGTTTCGCTCAGGGATTCACTCTCCAGTGTTCTCAAGGAGGCCTCGACTTCGGCCAGAGTCACGGACTCCAGACTCATGGCCTCCAAGACGTCACCCAGCTGCTCCACCTCGGACTCTTTTTCTGCTCCTCGAACATCATCCCGTGGCGGCCTCGGCCCTCGCTCAGAGCCCAGCATGGCCTCCATCACGACGGCAGCCTCGGCTTCTATCGCATCGGTGGCTTCAGAGATGGAATCTAACGTTACAAATTCAGCCTCGGACGTTTCCTCAAAGACAGCTTCCTCGTCTGTCGTGGTCCTAACTTCCATCTTCTCCTCTTTTGCTAGCACGTCAGCTTCTTCCTCGAGTGCGTTCCTGGTTTCCAGCAGAACTTCGGCTTCAAGACCTTCGACTGCTGCTTTCACTTCTGCGAGAGTTATCGATTCCAGCGTCATGGCCGCCTTCTCGTCCGTCTGCTCTCCAACAGCTGGATCAACGGCAGAACTTGTTCCTACCGAGCCAGGAGTTTTGGGAGGAACACGACAGAGGAGCTCTTTCACTAACGTGTTACTCTCTCCTTCTAACTCGTGAAGGTCCTCCGACATGGGGTCCCATTTTGAGAGAACTTCGGTTAAAGTCTCGCTCTCGTCTTCTCTCGAGTTCTCGGTTTCAGCCACGATCTCCGTCTGGACCGACAGCTCACGGACCTTTTCATCCAGAATAGAAGTTGTTTGGAGGAGCTCGTCGGTATTTAAAGACGCCACCAGAAGCTTGTCTACATGGAGCGTTACGGACTCTACAGTCATCTCTTCAGACCCGTTCACTCCCTCCTCCGCTGCTACATTTACCGACTCCACTGTGGGTTCTATTGTGGATTCGTTTTTTAAAGTCGAGGGTGCAGATTCTTCTGCATTCTGGATTAAGGCAGAGTGTGAGAGGTTGTCAGCTGCTTCGGTTTCTATTGCTGAAACAGGAGAGGCGCTGGCCTCTACTGCTGGTTCTACTGTGGTTTCTATTAAAGCTTCTACTTTGGCAGCATGCGAGAGGTAAACAGGACCTGAGTCTGTGCTTTTGGTTTCTACTTTCCGAGATGCTACATCTACTGTGACGTCTATCGTAGACTCTACTGGACCCTCAACAACAGCAGCTCTGGTTTCTAGTAGTACCTCGGTACAATGGATGGTTTCTACTGCTGGTTCTATTGTGGTTTCTATTAAGGGTTCTACTTTGGCACTGTATGAAGCGTCCCTGCTTTCGGTTTGCACTTCTTCAGCTGGAGCTTCTACTGTAGGCTCTACTGGGTGTGATAGGATCTGCTCCACTGGTGATTCTATTGTGGTTTCTATTAAGGGTTCTACTGGAGCAGCAGGACAAGATGATGTCTCTGCGATCTTCTCCACCACGTGATCCGATAAAGGCAGCTGTGTGGCAGTTTTGAGCTCTACTGGCTCTGGAGCAGTTTCTACGTTGGTTTCTATTGTTTGGCTTTCTATTGCAGCTGCTCCTGATGCTAAAGATGCAGATGTTGCGCCGGTTGGAGAGGAACCTGAGGTCGTAGGAACGGTCACAGTGGGAAGACTATGAGCATCAACTTGTTTAACACTAGAAGCAGCCGGCTCCATCTTTGACAAAGGAGGAACATTTGAGGCAGAGACATTCATAGAGGAGGCGGTAGGAGGTTTGGTAGGCTGAGCTGTAGGAGGAAGGGGAGAGGAAGAGGAGGGGAAAAAAGGACATGGAGAGGAGGGAAGAGGGACAAGTAAGACCACTGAGCACAGACAGGAACAAGCAGAACAAATCAGCGTTCGAGGGGTTCAATTAATGAACTAATTAAACTGTCCTTCAGGCAACTAAAGAGCCTGTTCCCCAATCTATGGACATTATTACTCTACTAGTTTATAGAGTTTAAAACAGGAAGCAACAAATGAGACGTAGAAAAGCAAGTATGTATGATGAAGAAGGGGCTCACAAATCCCCAAAACATTTAATCCTCTTACTCTTCATATTTGCCGGGAGAAAAAATGATATGTCAAAATCCAAAACCAGCTCTTTCTGCAGCTGTGAATTACTGTCACCTGCTGTGTTGACAGGAAAAAATAAATAAATCTGGAATTATGTTTATGACCGAGGCTTCATTCTGACACGCTGCCATACAGAACACCCTGCATGTGCTGATCCTTACCAGCAGGTGGCGCTGTGCTCGGTCTGCGCTGGGGAAAGAGCTCCTCCAGGAGTTTAGCGACATCCACCGCTGGCTGAGGCTTAGCTTTCTCTGTCAGGGACAGAAGACACACACTGAGAATAACAATCACTTCAGTAGAGGCTGGTCATTTACCCACAAACAGTTTCTCAATTGATAGACAATACAGTGTATTGTGATGGTTTATTGTATTAATACAACTAGCAGAAACCCGTGTGTTTGTCGAAGGAACAACATATGAACATAAAAAACACTGTGGAGATAAAACCCTCACAGGACATCAGACAGACCGTGTGTTTGTCTTACTGATGTGTGTCCTGCGTGGTTGTTTTCGGTCTGATGGTTTGGAGCTGAACAATGCGGTCTGTGGCCTCCATACAAGTCTGCACAACTCCCTGTGAATACACTGGACACACACACACACACACACACACACACACACACACACACACACACACGCTGGTGTCAGACGGCAAACTTGATTCTAGTTTGAAATAGTTGGATTTTCAGGAATTCAAAACACTGGACTGCTACATAAAAATGTATTATCTTGTATTTGTCCACAGTCAATGGTTTTGTGTGTTTAGTTATAATACTTTTGTCCTTTTAAGATTAACTTCTTTACAGTCAATGTTATTATTTTCAGTGTTTACTTTAAGAGAATAGTACATTTTATTTACAGCAGATGATACACAGAGTTTAAGTGTGCATTGAATGCAACTGCATAAATTATTCGTGTTTTTATGTGAAGACAATAAAAAGGCATGGGTAGCTTATTACCTACCCATGCCTTTTTATTATAATATAATAATAATATTATTACAATGCATGCTTTCACACATTTGGTCAAATCACATAAAAGTACTTACACATAATCCTGTTCCTCTTCTGAACAAAGCAGCAGCCATGATTGTGTAAATAAAAAAGAAGAGCAGCTGTAAGATATAATGTATTTATATAAGTAACTCTTTGGTAAACGTCACTCTGTGAAAGTACTAAATGTCCTGCAGCTCTGCTTCCTCCACCATGACAGTTACTGTTGTCATCGCTTTAGACTCACAGAGGAATATTTCAACGGTTGATTAAGATGCACAAAAACACGTTAGCTGATATATTCATGTTTAGTGGAGCAGTCCTGAGTGTTTTTACGGAATTGCTACTGATGTTACATAAAGCTCTCTACTTAAAGCCTCCGAACACTGGTGGCAAGACACCACAGAAGAAGACGAACGTGTTTCCGTCCATGGATGTCAAAATAAAAGCCTTAACGACAAACTCTTGAGAATGTGTTGGTCCATAACACACATTTCTGTAAACATGTATTGAATAATTTAAAGTAATAATAAAACATCAAAACGTATTTGAAAAATAAAAACATATTTAGTCATGATACCTTTTTAATCCTTCCTCCACCACCTCCTCCAAATGTAACGCTTTTATTGTGAAGGAAGCGTTGGCTAACTTCCGGTGTTTGTGGCTAAATTCATCAGCTTTGACACAGATTAGTTGGAATTAAGACAACGCCCTCTTTTACTGCACGTGCCAGCACAACACAGAACAATAACAATCCACTCCACACCTCGTGTTCTTTGAACGTCACACTGAAAGTAAAGAGTATTTCCACATTGAACTGAACGGGTGGGAGAGAACTAAGTCTTGGGTCCGTACAGACAGACTGCAGGTGATAGTCATGTCCCAACCTGCTGTGGCTCAATATAACACAACCTCTGTGAGTCCTTTTCTTTTTTAGGCATGTGGGCCACAAGGGTCACGTGCCATGTCAATCAGAGTCAATCCTGGTTGAAACTCAACTGTCAGTGTCATAAAAATAATTACGGGTAACAACAATGTGCAGCAATTTGTTGTACCTCAGATTTACACTTCATAGCAGATTAATAAGAACTTCCCGGAACACATTACTTCTGTTGATTGTTCCTCTTTTAATATTAATAATAATTTAGGTGTGTCTTTGATATTAAGAATCTTGTTTTGCATTATTAAAGTAGTCATATATTATATATTTTTTGTTATTTGGATCTTGTTTGTTTGATTTTGACTTGCATAACTTCTCCATCAAGTAAAGTAAAACAATAGAAAGCATTAGAAAGTTGTTTTTCCATGTGACCTAGTGGTTCCCACCCCCTTTTTGGGGTTCAGTGAGACAATAATTATTTACATCAATTTGTTTAATTTGACAGATTTTAATGCGTCTGAAAGGGTTCATTTTCAGGATTTCCTAAGAAAGGAACAATAACAGTAAAAGTCAGACTAAATAAATAAAATGTATCATGAAGAAGGTTTTGTTTCTCTTATTTCTTTATAATCTCTGCACAGAAACATGAACACAGACCACTTCAGTCTTGGTCCAACCGAAGTTTATTCTGAACATTGAAAGACAACAAAGTACATCTTCTTCTTCTACAGTGATAATTAACAGCAGGCCGCCTCCATCGCCCCCACGTAGCACTCATATATTAACTCTCAGAGAGCAGTAGTATTATTCACAACCTGGAGGGTAGAGACAGTGAGAACGGGTTCAAACTGGATCAGTTTCAGTAGTCTGGAGAGGAGGAGGAGGAGGTTTACAGGGATGAAGACTGGCAAACACTCATCTGTCCAACCGGCTGGTGCAGCGGCCATTTTGAATGCTCGTGTTGGGAAAGATTACCTTCAAAGTAACTTTTTCGACAATGATAATTCAGTGAATGATATGCTTCTTTTAAAAATAGTGACAATAACTGGAGGAGAAGTTTTTATTCTGAACGTTTTAAAGACACGGACCGATGATAATCTATATTTAGTTGATCCTACTAACAAGGACTGTCTGTGTTTATCTTCTTCCTCTTATTAAAAACACATCAATGAGCCACACACTGATGTTCCTTCACTACCAAATGTGTATTAATCCACCGCTGAAAGTAGTCCCCCACCAATGCACTACTTCCTCCTATCAGGAAGCTTAAAATGACAGTGCTCGGGGAGTGATAATATTCGTTTCACCATTGTATACGTTACATTTTTGTGACATTTCCTTCCTTGACTATTCAAAATGGCCGCTGTGGAACGTTGTTCAGTCGAGTCCTGCTGTGCAGCGACAGTGTGTGTGTGTTTTAAAAGTGCTGGGAGTGCCGACGCACAGCGAAACTTTATTTTATTATTTTACATGGAGCTTGCTCAGGGTTAGCGTGTGTTTTCTAAAAGGCTGTTCCTATAAAATACATGTAGTACCTAAGCATGTTTTTTCGAGGGCCCCTATGCAGATCTGGGCCCCCCCCCTTGGTTCTTTCAGGGCTTTTCCTCCCCCTGCATAGTGACACCCACTGTGACGCCTCCACACAGCAGCAACAACACAACAGAGGTGAGATGTGTGACAGAAATCACCTAAAAACTACAACCCCCAGTGTGCGTCCAACATCACAAAAATAAGAAAGATTAAGACATTCTTCTCGACAACTGATAGCGGTCACACCCGTTCCCTGTCTGCCTTTGTTTCAGCAGTACTATTATTATTATTATACATCTAAAAGGGACATTTTGATGTTAATTCACACGGGACACTTGTCACATATTGGGGTAAAATATGTCTACTTTTTCAGCTACTTAGCATCGTTAGCATTTCTCATGAAACCTGTGCATATTTAGCTTTTTGCGATAATGTGGCAAGTGTTCAGTGACGGTCTAATACAGACGGAAAATCAAAAAGTCCCTTTAGATGCAGAGCCTTGCAGCTGAAAGCCTGAGGAGTTTAACTTAAGACTCAGAGTTTGTAAGACTTGACGTTAAAAGAAAATTAAATAAAAATGTACCTTTAATTAGCCTGTCCATCAAGAGAGACACTCATACAATCATTCACACACACACACACACACACACACACGCACACACGCACACACACACGCACACATATGCACGCACACACACACACACACACGCACACACACGCACACACACGCACACACAGGTTCATTGGGACTAAAAGGAGGGCTGGGATTGTCACTGGAGTGTCGGAGACTGTCTGATGAAGCAGAGAAAGAGAAAACATTAAAGACCCGGCTGAGGACTGACTGGACTGGATTAAACGGACTCAGTACTGAAGTGGACCAGACTGGAGGGAGGACAGACGTGGACTGGACTGTAATAGAAACAGGTCTTGGTAGTACACCATCATGCTTTATGCTAAGCTAATTAGCACGATGGAGTCGTTTATAAGAGCTGCTCGTCTTTAAATACATTTTTAAGACCAGTGATATATAACTCAAGACTTTAAAGTGTTTGTAAGACATTAGGAGACATCAGAGCCTGCAGACGTCCGGTTTTTAGTTGAAAATTAAGGAGAGACATTGATTAAATTTGAGATTTTGTGCTATTTTGCTTCCCTAACATGTCTTCTTACGGTGTTTTATTTTATTACTTTGTCTATTTACGTCTGCAGATTGCTCCTAAATTCACTGAAAGTTACCATGCATTTGTGTTATTGTTATTGGGGCCCTTTGCTGTTGGGCCCCAATAAACTCTCAGAAACTGAACCGGACCAAACTAAGAGAATCCAGTCCAGTCTAACCCGGCCCGACTGTCTGATCCACATCTCTTAGATACAGTCCAGTCCAGTAGGATCTTGTCCAGGCTTCTTTCTACGGTTCCTCAAACAGCTGGAGGTCCAGCCTGACCACGATCTCTCCTGTGGGAACCTCGTGGAGCAGCAACCGCTTGGTGATTGGTCCTTTAGAGCCCTGGTCCTTCTTTATTTCAGCCAACCGGATCTCTGTCCTGCCCAGGAAGTCTGACGGGGGGGAGACGGAGGAGCAGAAAGTCAAAAAGAGAGTGTGTGATGGAAACATATAAAATAATGAACATCAGTTACTGTGACTGTGACTGACCGTCGGGTGAGAACTGGTCTCGTTCAAACACAGTGACACACAGGACGTCCTGCTCAAGGTCCTTTATAAAAAACTGACAGTTGGAGTTCCACTTTGGATTCAACGTGTCCTACAGAGAGAAACAGCATAGTGAGTGATATGACCACTTACATTAAAGGTATTTATTAATAATAACAGATTATTTAGGGTTATTAGTCTCTAAAGGAGGATCACAGAATAAGAGACAGAAGAGGAACAATAACAAACCTTGTAAATGTCTCTTAATCTTTTGACATGAATGAAACAGAAGTAAATAAAAAACATGAATGTGCTGTAAAGAGAAGAATACCTGTAATGTTTTTGTGATATGGCACTGTGAACCCATGGTTACCTCACAGTATGGGTTACTCTTTCCTGCAAAGACACACAATTATTTATCTTATTTATATTTATAACAAACAGTTAATACTTCAGACTAGTTAGATCATTTAAAGAGAACTTCAACTCTTGGTTAGTTTAGTTTATTTTGGTTGTTTTCATCTTATTCAACTCAAATACACAAATGAAAATAATAAAAAACATAACGAGTCAAGTGAAAAACCAAAGCAAGTCCCGCTTTGGGTTTTTGGTAAATGTAGCGTTTACACTATAATAAATGGTCAAAAGTTAGGTAAAGAGTTTTAAAGAGCGATGATGAAGCAATTTCTAGTTCAGCAGGAAAGAAAATGTAAACTTTATAAATATATGTTTTCATAAAGATACATAATTAAATGTAAAACGTTCCTCTTCTTCAGTGTGTACATACCGTGGGAGCGACAGGGTTTGAGCTCGATTCCCTCCACGATGTTGACCATCAGTCTCCCGATACCCGTGGCTCTCTGAGAACGAACTGAGACAAAGACACAAAGAAATTAATCTGTTAAAACGTTTGTTTTGGAACAAAACACTCAGGATGGAGGAAAGAAAACACACCTAGATATGCCTTCTCTCTCTTCTTCTTCTCCGTCTCAATGAAGAGCTCTGAAGCTGCTTTAATCTTCTGAACCCACGCCGTCCTGCAAAAACAAAAACAAACAAGAAAACATGCTTTTTAATTTAACTTTAGACATTTTGAGACCAGAGACAATACATGAAGCAGTACAATATCATACCAAAGATTAGGAATGATGGCCATAACTAAGAAATACTAAAGTTACATATATCTATACGTGTTGATCCATGTGTGCTTCTATTACCTTTCATTGATACTCTCAGCTCTGAGTGTGTAAACTCTGTCGATGTGAGAGATGTGGAACAGAGGTTCATCTCCTGACGGGTCCGTCGGCAGCTTCACCAACACTTCGTTCAGGAAGATCGGCTGAAAGAGACAAGAAGGAGTAAAGTAGTAGTTAGAGATACATTTACTGCAGGTCCTTTCTATTCAAGAGAAACTCTACTTCTCTTTAAGAACCGGGAGAAATTCTGCAGGTTTGTTTCCGAATACGAGTGTGTGAAGCTTCATGTGTGTGTGTGTGTCGTCTCACCGTCTTGTACATGCGGTACTGCAGGTGTGTTTTCGAGGAGAAGACTTTGTCCGAGCCCGACGAGCCCAAAGGTTTGGTCACCTGAGAGAAGAACAGAGAGAGAGACGGATGTAGAAACGGGAAATATGTTTCATAAATTATTCTGATTATTCACTGCAGTACAAGTACTAATACTACCATCTAGAAATAATCAATCAGAAGCAAAAGTACTTGTTTTGCAAATAAAATTCCCTTCATCAGTGACATCATTAGATTATTGTTTTTATTATCTTATAATTAGATACAGTAAGTTCTTCTGTACTTCCATTGGTTCCTAGTTTGGGGTCCGGCCCCTTCTAAAGGCTCTCTAATGATAATAAATAATAAATCTGAGCGGTTGTGAGATGATTGAGAAGAATAAAAGTTCTGCAAACCAAATTTGTATTAATTTTCAAAAATAAAAATAGAAATTAAAAAAAGGTTATTTTCTTGGAATTTTTTTTTTTTTCTTCTAATGACCCCAATGACTTTATGTTTTTCTATTATTTAGTGTTAATTTATTAAGTTTATATATATCATATTTTATTTTATAATTTAAATCAGAATTGGGGGAGACCTGTGATAAGCCTTTTTAGGCTCCCTAGCATATTCTGACTATTTATAATGTTTAGTTATTTTCTTATTTTATTGTTGGTCATTATTACTTTTTATATATATATTTATACATTAATATTTACACCCATTTTCACTACTGTACCTGTGTACATAACAGTCCTGTCTATTCTTTACTTTTATCTGTCCGGCTTTCTATTTCTGACTCAAAACAAAGAGGTCCACTAAAGATGATTCTGATTCGTATTTTATGTGCGATTAAATAAATAAAATCAACAGGCCTGAAATAGACCGTGTGCTTTTTGTGAGGGGTCACAAGCCAGAACTTTTGTTTTAATCTTTAACAACGCGTTTCGTAAAACGATCACTCGTTTTAAAATGTGGTGCAGCAGAAGTAAGCAGCAGCGTGAGATCACCTGAGTCAGCAGCAGGAAGTCATTGAACAGGAAGCCGTAGAGCTCCTTGCTGCTCTTGGCTTTAAACAACTTCCCGCTGTGGAGGAACTTCCTGGGACCCAGACAGTTGGTGACGGAGTTAAACACCAGTTGCTGAAGGACAGAGACGGACAAGGTGATTATTTTTTAATTAACATTAACATTATGATTAATACCAGAGTCTAAACTGACATCTTCAAAAGTAATACACATCTTTTTATTGATTTAATATGAGTCTGTTCCTGATATTTTGTTGCTGTTGTTCTATAAAACTGGGAGTTATTATCCAATGCACTATCCTGCATCGATTAAGGCTAAATATTTAAAATAATTAGCTGCTGGTTGTCTGTAGTTATTCATGTGTTAATATTTGTTCAGATGAGATCTACAGAAATCATTTAACGTAAAGTGATCAATGATTCATTCATTGAGCTGCATGTTGTCAGTGTGTAGTCGGTGTGTAGTACACAATGCACATGTGTGTGTGTGTGTTACAGTTACCTCAGACAGGCCTTCACACTGGACGTGAGCCTGAATCCACTCTAGACGATCTGAGTTCTCCTTCTCCCTGACGCCCTCATTCACCTAAACACACACACACACACACGCATACACACACACACACACACTTTAGTTATTTATTTGTTTGCACGTAAAAAAAATATTGTTAAAGATATCACATATATACAAACAGATTTTTACTGACATAAACTCAGTGTGTGTGTGTGTGTGTGTGTTCACCTGTGAGCACAGCTCCTCTGCTTTCTCCAGAGCAGCCTTCAGATGGCTGTTGTCTGGATGTGACTCCGGAGTGTTTTCTATGATCTGTAACCGAGGGAAGAGAAAGTACATCAGAAGTGATTTTTTAAAGTCTCAACTCGTCCTTCAGTGTGTGTGTGTGTGTGTGTGAGAGAGACGTACGTTCTTGATGATGAGCGGGTAGCGTGTGACTCTCTGCATAGGTTTGAGCAGGAAGCTGGACAGAGGCATCCCTTTACACCGGGGATCCATCGCTAACCTCTGAGAGAGAGAGAGAGAGAGAGAGAGAGAGAGAGAGAGAGAAAGAAACGGAAATCAGTGCTTTTCACACTTGAGTGGACTTTTCATTTGTAAAATAAAAATGATATCTATAAAATGCTGAGTGAACCCTTTTCCTAATGTCTGAAGTTAAAGGAACTGCTCACATATGTGGATTATTTGGAGTAACCGGGTCATGATTTATAGAAATAGATGTTGCTGTTTTTAACCCTTTTAACCCTCGTTGAACGGGGGAAGAGGGCAACCGACACACTCTACTCATTGTGCCTTTTAATAATTCATGCAGAGTGTTGAATTAACCTCAGTTCATAAAGGAATCTCTATTCAAACAGAGACACTCACAAAGTTAAATACTACACATAAAGTGTGTGTTCGTGTGTACTTTTGTACCTTCAGGAAGTCTTTGATCTCCGGGCTGTCGTCAGTTTTCTGCTGAATCAGCGTGGCTCCGTTCAGCTGACACGAACAGAACCTGAACACAAACACAAAAACACAAAATAAAATCATCACAGAATTAGAAAAACAATAACACTTACATTACAACCGTTTACAAAGATACAGACATCAAGCGACTCCCTGAAAGACGGGATTAAAAGATGACAGAGGGAACCTGATGTATGGCTGCATGTGAGGCAGCTGGTTGGTCAGGATGTCACCAATCATCTTCACGGGCATCCGGTCGCCTGACATCTTCTTCCTCACTCTCAGAGCCCTGCAGGAGGGAGAGAGAGAGAGGCATGATGGGAAGTTTGGTCTTCTGGGATTTTATCAGGGAATACCTATAAATATTTCTATTTCAAATTGTGTGTGTGTTCGGTGTGTTTCTCTTTACTTGAGCAGTTTGATGTTGCACATGATGAGCTCCTTCCAGTTGACGAAGATCATGGCCACCTCCTTCTCCGTCAGCAGCTCGCACTCCAACAGAGGCTTGTGGAAGATCTAAACACACAGAGACCGATATTAGTCAAAAACACAGGCATTAATTAATTAAAGAAGTCATCGACGCCGCATGAAGACGTATGTGCGTGTGCACCTCAGTGACGAGCTGCAGGTCGTTGGCGTAGTTCTCCTCGGTGACGATGAGCTCGTGGATGTAGCCCTGCCTCTTCCTCTCCATGGGACTCAGCATGTCCAGCAGGTGGAGGTCAGCGCACCCTGAAAGACAAACGTCTCTCACACACACACACACACACACACACACACACACACACACACACACACAGCCGTCAATCAAACATCCTGCAAGGAATAGAAAATAAATAAACATCTATTACACCTGTATTCATACATCACCAACACAATACATACCTGAGGAACAGCGGAACGCTCTGGAGCAAAGTTTGAGTCAAACGTCTGAAATGTGAGTCTGTGTTCAGTGAAGCTGTTTTATGTGTATTTCTTTCAGTAGGAAGTCCAACATATGTGTGTACACGTGAAGATGTTAAAGAGGAATGTCTATTTAAAAGTTCATATTTTTGATAGTGGTTCTTTTTTACATCTAAATATACAAAAAAGCTTCTTAATACGGCTTCAGATTTGACTATAGAAAGCAGAAACTACCTGGGTATTGACAAGATATTTATGACTTTTATTACCTAAAATTGTTTTAAGCTAAGTGCTAAAAACACCGATTTGTTATAAACTCAGATCTGCAGTGGAATCAGTTGATTTCTCTCCACAAACAGACTAAGATGTGATTGAACTCTGCTGCAGTTATCAATAGTTTACTAGATGTCCAAAAGAAAGATTTAGATGTGCTAACATTTCAGTTTTTTAAGGAACAACCTAACAAGCTGGCAGACACACAGCTGTGATATATTAATGCCTTATAAAATCATCTATTCAACCTTTGAAGGCTGAAAACAGCTGCAAAGATGCTCAAGATTGATTACAAATATTGATAAATGTAGCTTTAAGTCATTTAGCTCAATATTAACAAACTTAATACATGAATTTTATGTTTTTAATATTTGTTTAACTAACTGTAAATTCAAAACTTTATCAACAAATGCCAGTTAAACAGGAGGCTTCTTTACATTTAAGACAGATAGATTGCACATTACAAGTCTGAGTAACTGTGTGTGTGTGTGTGTGTGTGTGTGTGTGAGAGAGAGTAACGAGGCCAGTCGGCTGCAGTCTGTCTCAGAGCATTTAATCATCAGGACCAGTCAGATTCAACCGCTTCATCAAAATCTCCACCAATAAAACCTCGGGACATTGTTTTCCTACCGACATTCTGCACATTTCATTCGCTCATTCAAGTATCCTCTTCCTTCCTTTGTGTATCCGTCTGACCATTCGTGTCCGTAAAACCGCTCATTCATGCGTCGTTTTCACTCACTCACTCACTCTCTCGACACCAAGTGCAGTCTGGTTACATTTGGCTGTTAATCCATTCGTCCATTCATTAGAGGTGCTATTTATAATCCCCATGAAGCATCAACCGTTACCATTCATTTAATATTTTAACAATTAATGTGTGTGTTGTTAAACAAACCAGACTAGACCGGAGCCACGCTTCAGAGCAAACTGTGTGTGTTCTGTTAAAAGTTGTTAAAAAGTCCAAGTTTCTAGCTGGAGTCTGGTTTGTTTCCACCTGCAGTCCCCAAAATGATGTAAACGTAATGCTAATAGGGACGAAGATGTCTGCAGGTGGGAGTGTTAGCGTGTAGTAACAAGCATTATTAGGACGTGTGATGTTGCTGCATGGCTCTGGTCTTGTGGGTCTTTGTTCAAACCTAAAATACTCTGACTGTGAGGAAGTCTCGACCATCGGTTACCAAACTGAAAGAAACCCTCACTCTGCTTATATTCATCTCCCAAAACCCAAAATGAGGGCCTCCAGTCTCAGCTTTGTTTACCAACCGACGGCCTTTGACTCATCGCCCAATCAGAGACCTCCACCTCCAATACACACTCGAGGAGCCAATGGCATCCAAGCAGGTTAATAACACGATAATAAGAACAACTCTATTGCTTGTTGTATAAAAAACGTTGTGTAGTTCAATAATCGTTTGTGTTTCTGAAGGTAAACATTAAAAAATACTGTCATCTGGATAAACAAAAACACAAACAATACAGATGTAATATGGCCGCCAGTATAACACTCGTCTGTTGCTGTGGGAAATGCAGAACATACACCGGGCGGTAATGTACAGTATATATATATTATTTGGAAGTGGGACTATGCTGTTGGTTAGTTCGCTGTCGCTCAACACAGACCTGATAACCCGATGATGTTTTAAGCACTCGCAGCAGCGCTGTGAGGATCTTAAGCTAATTACATTTAATGGGAATTAACTGTTAAAAATAAAATGCAGCTTCAACATCTGAGTCGTGACAGCTTCTCGGCGTGGTTGGTTTTATCGAGTAGGAGTTTAAAACTTCACAGGTTTTTGATAACTCGTAGGGGTGCAATGATGCATGATTATTTTATACAGTAGGTTTTGCAGAGCAGGCGGGAAAAGCAAACTTAAAATCATCTTTTTGTGTGCATGAAGTCTGGTGACAACGAGCTAAAACACTCTCAAAAGGTGCATCACAGTGTGGAAGATTCGAGGAGGTAAAGCTCAAATTACTTAAAAAACAAATATCACTAGTTTGTGATTGTTGAGCCACAACTAAAAAACAGCCGACCTATTTAAAGGACGACTTCGTCATTTTAGGAAATATGCTTGTCGGGTTTCTTGTGTGAGATTTGAAGATCAACAGCACTCTCATGTCTGTACGTTAAATACGGAGTTGGAGCCTGAGGGCGATTAGCTTAGCTTAGCATAGCATAAAGACTGGAGGCAGCTCATACGTCTCTTTCCAGAGCTCCAAAATACACACGCTAACAATAATACTCTTAAATTAACGTTGTACTTTTGTTTCATCTCTGCAGAAACACAAATGTAAAAATGTGTAGTTTTACGGGAGTTGAAATGCTGACTTTAGAGGTGTTTTAGGATTATTTTGCTAGCCGTTTACAACTGCCTCCGCTTGTATGCTAAGCTAAGCTAATCACTGCCTGGCTGTAGCGTCACACTTAACAGACAGACATGAGAGTGTCGTTGATTTTCTCATTTAACACTCATCAAGAAAGCAAATAAATGCATTTCACAAAATGTAAAAATATTCTTTTAACTGGAATGATTCAAAGATCTGACGACGGCCATTTTTCTTTTTTTTTGACAAATAGTTCCACCCCTACATTTAGTTTTCTGTGTTGTGTGTAAATGTTCATCATCCCGGTCTCGGTGTGACAGCATCTCATCCTCATAGCAACAGACAAAACAATAAACATGTAAACAAAAATAACAACAACGGAACATAAAACTGATCAGTTAAAGTTAATACATATTCAGAATGTTAAAACTACAACGGATAAAAACATTATCACTGTGTGTTAGTGTGTGTGTTCACACTGTTTCAGGTCATGTGCAAACTCTCTGTACCATGTTGCATTTTACATGTGTGTGCGTGTAATTTGGTTAGCTAGTATGCTAAGCAGTGACAGCATGGCTTTCCATTTATAGCCCTGAGCTACGGGGCTGAGTTCCATTCCAGCTGCTCGCTCCCATCTATGCCTCCTTTCCTAGCAGAGAAAGAGAGGAGGAGGAGGAGGAGGAGGAGGAGAAGCAGGCTAGCTGGAAAACCATAGAAGGGAGCTGCACAATGGGTTGAAACTTAGCACTCAACTGCTGTGGGACGCGTCTCAATACTGCCTCGTTTCCTCTCCTCTCCGGGGGAGGAGGAGAAGAGAAGGAGGGAGGAGGAGTCTTTGGCTTTGAGGAGAGGAGATGTAAAGAGAGGAGAGGAGACTGACACTGAGACTTGTCCTCCAGCAGATAGTGGGTCTTTCTGTGAAGCTGTGGGGAGGGAGCGGGTTAGTGAGGGGATGGGGTGGAGCCAGCGCCTTTGATTGACAGGTGAATGAAGCTGCCCAACCAATGGGAGGTTAAAGAATTATAAAGAAAAATTACAGGAGGGAGCGGGATGAGCTGAGCTACTGACTCTAATGACAGAATCTCCCATAAAGCCACAAAATGACCCACTATCCACTGTACCACGCTACGACAGGGCTGTGTATGGACGTATGTTAACGTGTGTGTGGATGTATGCACGTGTGTGTGTGTGTGTGTGTGAGAGAGAGTGTGTGTGTACAGTCACTGTGATCCAGTCAAAAACATGTTCATCAGTCCAATCTGAGAGAAAGGAGCTCAATAGTCTTTGTCTCTCCTCCCTTTTCTTCTTCTTCTCCCCCTACCTTATCTAACACGCCTTTCTGAACCGTTAAAACAGAAAGAGAAGAAGAAGAAGGATTAAAAAGACGGGAGGAGAAGAGAAGAAGAAGAAAGTCCTGACTATTGATCTCCCTCCTGCTGGAACAGTGCTGTTTGGAGCCACAGCCTTAGATAAACAGAGTTTTGGCCAAGTCCAGTCAGAGCCGAGCACAGACAGAGTTCTCTTTTTTAACGTTACAGTCTGTCTGTCTGTCTGTCTCTGGCTTCTATTGGTGGAGAGTCGCCATTTCCGGGTCATGTGACCTCTTGCTGCTGTCCCATTGGTTGAGTGGCCTAGTAGGCGTGGCCTAGTGGGTCTCTTTGAGGGCTTTGAGGAGAGGGGGGTTCTGGGTAATGATATGATCCTAGAGAGAGGACGACAACAACAACATCAACAAAAACAACTAAACAAAACCAAAACAACAACAACAACAACAACAACAACAACAACAACAACCAATCGGGCGCTAGGTGGGTGGAGCGTGCAGCAAGACAGAGAGTGTGGAGGTGTGCTCTAACCTAGCATAGAAATAGAGGATCTAGAGCGAGCAGTGTGAAGAAGCTTCTATCTGGCAGAACAGTAAGAATATTTTTACTTTACGAATAATGATATGTTTCAGTTTTGTCATTAGAAGAAGCTTTTCATTTTGTAAAACAATGGAATGATATGATTCCACTACAAGTAAGAAAATGATAAGCTGTATTTGCAGCACTGAGGGTGCTCATGTGTCCTAATATGTCCGTATTAAAATCTTATAAATAATGTTTTTATAATATTTACTATAGTAAAAAGACACATTTTGTCTCTCCGCTCAGCTCTAGAAACTCTAAGTCTATGGTGGATCATGCTGAAGGGACACATGCAGGAAGAAGAGAAACACTTTTACACTGAAGCAAATACAAACACACACACACACACACATGCACGTGCATGCACATACACACTATACAAACACCACCCAGAGGTGTTCCATGACAGGGAGGTTATCAAAGAGGCCCAAAGGAGTGTCACGGTGAAACCAATCACAGAGAGAGGGGACAGCATCTCCACACCTGGCTCTGGGGTGTGTGAGTGTTACACTGTTCCTATTGAGTATGTTCATGTGAGGTTATGTGTGTGTGTGTGTGTGGGGTTGTGTGTGTGTGTGTGTGTGTGTGTGCGCGCGTACTCACACTGCGTGCTCGGGTCAGTATCTGTGGTGAGTTTGACGTAGTTGCTGGGGAACAGACCCTCCCTCCCGTTGAGCTCTCCCTTCCACCAATCACAGTCGTCCTTGTTGAGCACCGCGATCACCTGACCCTTCATGAAGGCCAGCTCGTCGTCGTTCTGGGCCACGTAGTCATACATGCCAATCACCTGACACACCGCTGCAGGACCGGGGAGGGGGGGGGCAATAAAGGGCAATAAATATTTTTCCATACCGCGTAGGAACCCTGTGATTCATTGTGTTTTCCCCAGCGTATTGCGGAGGCAGCTGCAGGATATTAAAGACAGTACACGTGTTTGTATTTTGTGTGAGTACCTGTGTGAGGACCCGTGCCGGCCGTAACCAGTTTTGGAGGGGTGGGCTCTGTGGGCGTCGTCTTGCTGGTGCTGGGACTGAGCAGCTTCACGTAGTTGGCCGGAAACCAACCAATCTGGCGCTTCTTCCCCCGAGCCTGAGCCAATCAGAACACAGGACGCATGAGTCCTCACATTCCCATAATAAATACGACATACAACAAAGAGGTAAAAATCTAAATCAAACTACTTAATTATTATATTATTATTATTCTGTGCATGTATTAAGAGTTTGTGCTTGTATACCTGGAGCTCGCCCTCCCACCAGCCCCCCGGGTTTTTTTTCCTGATGAGGATGAGCTGTCCTGGAGCTAAAGTCAGCTGCTCTGCTCCTGTCGCACTGTAGGGGGCGATCACCTGAGCGATCTCTGATGCAGAGAGAGAGAAAGAAGAAGATCAAGTTCAGTATTTGGCTTTCATTTTGAAATTGAACTGAAACAACTATTGACAGCATTAGTCACTGAAACCTCACCTGGTTTCTTACCCAGGCTGCCCGTCTTCCCTGCTGGTCCCAAAGCCTAGAGACAAAGTTTAAATAACAATCATTACGAATATTTACCTTAAGACACATCCAGAGTTCTGGTTTTGCCTCATATGTTCTGACCGAGCTCTCACCTCTGAGGCCGAGTCTCGTGGTTTGACATAATTGGAGGGAAAGACGCCCGTCTTGCCCCCGACCATGCCCGTCCACCAATCCCCTTCTTTCCTGGTGACCATGACCACGTCTCCTTGCTGGAAGCTCAGGTCCCCCTGTTCACTGCTCTCGTAGGTGTACATGGCCACGTACTCTGCACACAAAAGGGGCGGAGTCAATGACAATTACTCACCCAATTTAAAAAAATAAAAGAATACATTTTTAGGCATTTGCATGCGTTACCTTCTCCAGACTCAGAGAGTTTTGTTGGGGAAGGGGACGGACGTTTTCCATTGGGGGGGCTTTCTGATACTCCAGACTCACTGGAAGAGAAGGAAGAAAAAACTACTTTACAACCCAACATATTTAATAAACTAATATAAGAATCATCCTTTGTATGATACTTCTGTAAAAAGTGATTTTTCACTCTCTACTGAGACATTTATGAGAATTTATGCTCAGACAAGCAGATAAAGAGCCCGATAAGAAGAATATCATCAGAACAATCATCTGTGGTGTTGAGTTTAAAAGGTCCTGTCTGAAGATCTGTAGCTTCACTCCCTCTGAGAGGATTAAATGATGTGAGACAGCTGTAGTAACACGATTCAGTGTTTTTAAGTTCTGACTCGATGCTCCATTTTAACCCACCTGGTGTTTTTGATACGCGGCGCGGCACCAGGGGGGGGCGTCATGGTGGCGGAGATGAGCTTCACGTAACTTTTAGGGAACCAGCCTCTCTGTCCGGTCTGCAGCTCACCTAACCACCACATGTCCTGCTGCTCCAACACGGTTATGATCTGCAGCAACAATAACAACAACACTGTCAGTTCGGGCCTCGCCGAATGTCCTTTTCTGTTTGCATTCAAAGCTGTTATTGAGGTTTTCAAATGGAGCTACGTCATACGTCAAAAACACACATGAAATGGAATAAAAACATACAAATGTAACTAAAACAGAAGCGAGATGCAGATTGATTGACAAAGATACAGTAGTCAACAACTCAAAAGAGTGCGTTGAACGGTATCTACATGGAAGAAGGCACATGTACCTCGTTTTTGTTGAAGTTGAGGTGGTTGTCCTTCTTTGCTCTCCATGGATACAAAGCCTGAGCCTGAAGACCCTCGACCTTCTCCCCCTGACACACATAAGATAACAGAGAACAACACCCATCGGTTCAGATGTTCACGGACAAACAGAGATGAGAGCCTCAGAGTTTCGTTAGGTTCCTACCTGCCCCAGCACGGGAGAAGGGGAGGAGCCTGTGGTCATCGTAGCGGGTGTGAAGGCGGAGCGTTGTCGTAACTGCGCTGACGGAACACTGAGCGAAGGGTTCTGATTGGTCGAGGAGGTCGGCCACGCGTCCCACCCCTCGCTGTCTGATTGATTGGCTGTGTTGGAGGGCCAACTGGAAGAAAACTCATATATTAGAGGAGTAAAAATGGACTTTATGCAAGACTCAAAATGGCGACATTGGAATGGAGCGAATAGTAAATCAATCAACAGCACAGTACAGTTTTTCTTTCTCGTTATATTGACTCCAGCGGTACTTACGTGGTGCTGAAGTCGGCCCAGTTACTGTTGACGGAGGATGCGGAGGAGGAGGAGGCGTGTCCAGGAGCGGGGGGAGGCGTGGACATTGGCTGCTGGGCTGCGGTGGGCGGGGCCGAGGCCGTGGCACGCAGGCTGATTGGTGCTTCGCTGTCCGGAATCCGTTCGGCGTAATTAGCTGGAAACCAACCAGTCCGGCCCCTGAGCTCTCCTCCCAGCCAACCCGGTTCCCCCGTTTGGGATTCATCCACCTGTGAGAGCAGAGGGGCGGGATTAAGATAACGCCGGAGCATGACTGCACACACAGTGAGCTCTCTTCTCATTTATCCATTTTTGTGGGCTTGTGACCCGGAAATCGATCTAAGCGGTTCATCTCGAAGGACGTCCCGATTCCTAAAATACATATTGAGGAGGCTATAAGCGAGGACACACTGATGTATCCTTTGCGGAAGTCTTTTCGGCATCCGTGACATATAAAGGAGGCGTGACAATGGACAGCTGATGCAGCTGTGCACCGCGTCATATTTATTTATTGTCGTTTTAAAATGACGGCTGTTGTTTGTTCAACTCGACTCCTTGCGCCTCGCCCACAGGAGATGCGAGCACAGGAGGCAAGGAAAGGAATCTAGGAAGGGACACTAATCAATAGAGATGTGTGTGTTCAGATTCACGGTACAACATAATTCCAGGAAGCAGAATTACCAAATTAGTGCATAATTGAGTGAGACAAAACACAGAAACTTGACATTTGTTAACTGTTAGTTGTGTTCTGGCTCATTACAACAGGCTCTTATTATCAGTCTACCTAATCAATTATTCTCCTTCTATAAATAACCTCATGATAAAAACCTGTGGCTGTGCCCTTCACTACCAATTAAATAATATATCGAGTTTATTTTCATTTCTTTCCACCATGTTGTTGATGTTGTTTGTTGTAAAACTTGGCAGGTTTACATCCAACGTCTTATCTTAATCATGTCGAAGTATATTTATGGAGACAAAGTATGTTTTCACAAAGTAGTCGACAGAGAAGTACTCTGTATGTATTTTAGGACCATCCTCAACCAAATATTGTATTCAGAGAGATCCGACTGTAAAGTGTAACATCGCAAAGCTTTACGCTTACAGTTAATCACGTTCATGACGCTTCACATAAACCGTGAAAACAAATAAAAGCAAAACAACATTCACAGATCCGATTAGAATGATTAGGTTAAAAAATAAAAAAGAGCCAAAGACGTTCATTCACTGGCAAACGAACGAACACAGAGATGACATGAGATGAACCAATGACAGCAAGAGTTCAAATGAAAGCTGGCTTGTGATTGGTGGACTCACAACACTGGGCGGGGGGCTAGAACTTACCCATTCCCCCTTCACCTTCAGGGTTGCACAGCAGAGGAGAGAAGAAACAGTTAATGCACGCACGCACGCACGCACGCACACACACACACACACACACACACAGTCGACGACACACAGGAGGCTTTAATAAAACAAACACACACACACACACACACACACACACACACACACACACACACACACACACTACAAAACAGGCAATAAATAAATTGTCTGTTCACACAAAGTCATTGTGTTATTTTGGGTAAACTCATTTTACTCAAACGGCCACTATTGCACCTGCAGATGCTCACACGACCAAAGTCTGCACCTTCGTCGTCCTCCTCGTGTTGCTGTGTGTTTATAGCTGGAGGATGCAAGTGTACGAGCACCGAGTGTGCGTGTGCGTGTACTACATACCATGATTACATCTCCGGGAGCGATACTGATCTCGTCGTGGCTGCGGGCATCAAATGGATACAGAGCCCTGTAGTAGACCACCTTCACCGGCTGCTGGTCGAAGCTACTGACAGGAGCCTTCTGGTCGAACAGACCGGGTGGTACCGGAGCCTTCTGGTCGAACAGACCGGGTGGTACCGGGGCCTTCTGGTCAAACAGACCAGGTGGTACCGGAGCCTTTTGGTCAAACAGACCGGGTGGTACCGGGGCCTTCTGGTCAAACCGACCAGGTGGTACCGGAGCCTTCTGGTCAAACCGACCGGGTGGTACCGGAGCCTTTTCCCCTGTAAATAAACAGAGAAACTAAAGTTTAATAAACACATTAAGACGTATTTATAGAATACGGTATTTCTTTAACATAAGTAAAGGATCTGATGTGTACTCCTTCCTCCACTATATTTGTAAATTTCAAAGTGTGCTGGAGTCTATTTGTTCCTTATGGACTACAGATCTTTTACACCAATCACTGTGCAGAATCTTTACTTTTAAACTCCGACCCTTGCCTGTTAACGTGTCCTAAATTCTTGCTTGAACTCTGCCAGAAACTCTGGAATTAAGTGAAGATGCCACTTTAGGTAATTGGACGTTTTTCTGCAGATGTTTTTGGGGATCTTGTGCTCCGTTCATACCGTCTAATAGTCATAACACACCTGTTGAAGCCCAGGGGTCGGCCGGCTGGCTGAACAGCTTGCTCAGCTTCTCCTGCATGTCCTTCTTGCCTCTCCCTTCATCCTCCATCTCTTCTGCCGATCCTGCTCCCTTCCTGCCCTCCTCATCATCCTCCTCCTCCTCCTCTTCCTCCTCATCCTCCATCCCTCTCCTCTTCCTCTCCTCCTCTTCCTGAGCCACTCTGTTCAGCCAGGCGTGGGGTGCAGAGATGGAGGGGGGGCTCGGGGCGTTGGGGGCGGAGCTTGTAGCTTCATCCCTCCAGGACACGGCCTCCTCTGACGACAACCTGATGAGAGGCAGAGAGCCGTATGAAGTAATTAACCCGTCTATTCTCATGTAACGCCTTCGATATTATTCATGTACGTTTCATTCTTACCTGCCGTCCTGCAGCTCAGCAGACTTCCTCTCGATCGGGGTGTGTATGTGAGCGTGTGTGTGTGTCAGTGTGTGCACGTCTCCGTCCAGCTCCCTCTGCTTCTGCCTCTGCTGCCGGATGTGGATCTCCCTCAGCTCCTGCAAGGCATGATCGGATTACAGGAAGGAACAGCGGTGAGGAGGAGGAAGTGGGGTCAGAGGGCCGGCTGCTACGGGTTATCACCAACAACAAACAACGAACGACATCAACAGCAGCATGTATGTATTAGTCAGGTGAACAAGGCAAGCTCCGCCCCTTCTTTTAAGACCAGGTTGTGGAGCAGCTCATTGCTTTTGGAGTCGATCGAGGACTCTTAGCTGCTGCTTAAGATGCTGCAAATCTGTCCTGTGATGCACGAGATCAACAGCATACTGAGGGGCGACTTCACGAAGAATGGATCGCGTCCGCTGATCGTTTGCAACCACCATCTGCCCCCGTCTAAATTTCCCATTTCCCCACAAATAAAATATCGCGCTAATGATATTACAGAGCAAACACGGCCATAAAAAGGGAGCTTTATTCAATTATTTTTCATGACACAATGGTCATTGCATCCTGTCAGTGCCTTCCAGAATAACTAGCTGTGGTACTCTCTTCCCTCTCTTTCTCTTGTGTGTTCAGTGCAGTTTGTGTTTCTCCGTCTAAACGATTTCTCCTCGTCTGACTCTTGAGCTGCTCAAGATGTTGTGTGGACATGAGACTAACATCTCAATGACTGCTGCAACTACTTGGCAAACAAAGATGTATACAAACATGTACCAATCATATATTTGTAAATATTTGACTAAAGTGAACCCAATAGGGTTGAGTTTGTGGATTGTTGGAAACTAAATTATAAATACATTTTCAAAGTTGTTTCTTATATCAGTGAAAAAAACAACTACCCTCTCAATCATCACCAGAAGTGTGTGGCGGTGTCTGTATCTGCCCTCTGCCTGGATTTTCCTAATTTTCTGTGTTCAGGACGTCTTTAAAAACCTCTATTTAAAACGTCGCGACCAGGTGCCTGATCGTAAGCACACATCCAAGAGGAAGATACAAAAATGGCGCACACAGCTCTGAAAAGATACAAGTACAGCGAGTTGAAACGCCAAGCTGACAAAGTTCGTTGAGCCGGGGCCAACTTTGAGCGGCTCCAGCTGGTCGGAGGGTTTTGGAGTTCATGTGGAGTTCAAGCACAGCAGCACGCTCTATTTTAATTGGACAGGATGTGTCAGGAGCCAATCAGCAACCAGGAATACTGACAGAGAGTTTGATGCAAAGGTTGTCTTGCTGGCTGTATGGGAGTAAGCCTTAAATTGTGTGCCTGTAGGATTAGTAAGTGTTTTAATGTGTGTACATAAACCGTGTGAGTCCTACAATTCAACACCTCAACATAAACGAATAGAGGTTGCTGATTCAATTTGTATTGCGTGCTGTGTTACAGTTACTTATAGTAGAGTACACCGGCCATGGTGTTGGGGGCGGAGCTTGCACGAGGCACGGTATGTTTGAGGGAAGCGTTAGGAATAAGCAAAAAAAATATTTTTTTAAAAAAGGAGGGAGGGTGGGGGGATGCAGTTGGGGGGGGGGGGTAGTTCTGTGTAGTCATGACAACCAGCTGTGCCATTAGAGCACTCGTTACTATAACAACACAAAACAGCTGTCGTGTTTCAGCCAAACAACCAGCGTGAAGAAAACCTTCAGAAACAAGCAAAACCCCTCAAGAGAGAGAGAACACCGACTCCATCTGAAACAGGAAGTGGAGGACGAGAGAGAGAGAGAGCATGCCAACAGACACACACTCATCCAAAATAAAGGCCAGCCTACCAAACTCAGATTGTAGTGTATCTGCATGTGAGACGCATAAATGTGTACTAGCTTCTACTAGTCTGGCTGAAACATCATCTGGTAGCACACAGGCAGTAGCATGACAGCACAGTGGTAATAAAGTCACCTAATCTAGTGCACCTGCTAACCTAGCACGCCCGCTAGTTTAGCAGGACGACTGCGTACAGCGCCAACAATGGGAGCAAAGTTAGCTGGCCGACTACGTAGCGAGCTAACACCAGCCTGGCAAAGAGGAGGAAGCTAGAAGCTAAATATTTTAGGGGACGAGGGGAGGAAAGAAGGGTAATAATGAGAAGAGGGTGAAAGAAAAGGTGAAGGAAAAGAGAAGGAGATTCAAGAAAGAAAGATAAAGAAAATAGCAAAGAAGGGAGGAACTGAGAGATAGAGGGGACAGGAAGGGAGGCTGGGTGGATGTGTGGACCTGTATAACGTAGTCTAGCCGAGCCAGACACACCCTGACGGCTGACACACACTCCTGAAGCTGTCCCTGCTCCTGGCACTGAAACACATATACACAAACACACACACACACAGAGGATCAGTCATTCTGTAGAGACACACACACACACACACACACACACACACACATTGAAAGTTAGTGTTCCAGACCATATCTACGCATTCTGTTGGGAGTTATTTGTCGGTTTCTCTGCATGTAGACTGTGATTAAGAACTCATGGGACACCTCTTGATAGCTACCTTTGTTCATACCATCTCACATACTGTAAAATAACTTTATATATGACAGCTGAAATTACAAATATTAGACACAGCACAGCAGTTAGCAGGTTATGCTGGTTACTTGTTGTCTTGTGCATGTAGCAGTCAGATCAGGATCCCAATTCATTTCTAACTGCTTCCTAATTACTGGAATACATATTTTTGAATCCCTGACATAGATCTGGTGATTTTCTCTCAGTAGAGAATAAACAAGAAGAAGAGAGAGAGCATGATAAGGCCTTGACTCATGCAAGGAGAGGCTCCTGTGACTCACTGGGAGGAGTGATGTGCTGTTACAACTGTTAAGTGAAGCCAGTGTTAACAGACTGAAGTTGGCAACAGCCCAGTTGTCATATTATTGAGTGCAGTGTGCAAGAAGCCTAGTTAGTTTATGTCACTGACTTGTATGTATTGGATAGTCGATAATAGTTTCGTGTTTTTACGCGTTAACTAGGTTTTTAAGTTAGTAATGAAGACACAGGTTGCAAGTTAGTAGTCTGACAACAGGGTGTGTTATGTTTCACTTGTTTCTCAAATAGTCCGGCAGTGCAGGTATGTTCTATGCTCCGGGTCGGCCATTAGAGGCAGTGTGTTCATCACATGATTATTTTTACATTTCAGAGTGAATCCCCGCTGCAGTACCACCCCCAGACCAGCAGTGGCAGTGTGCTCTACCTGTCTCCCTCTCTGTTCGTCCTGAAGCTGGCGTCGCAGGGCTTCTATCCTGGCACAGTGGTTGGCATAGAACTCACACAGAGACTGGCATGGGCAAGGGAGCAAAAGGCCAGTGTAGGAGATAAATAAAAAGAAGTAGAAAAATATAGAAGGAAGGGTTCATCATGTGGATTAAACAAAGAATATGATCGGAAGAGAACGAAGGCGAGAGGTGTAGAAATACAGGGTGAAGAAGCAGGAAGGAGACACGGAGGAGGAGGAGGAAGAGGACAGCGAGTAGAATCAGGAAAAGGACAGAAGGAGCATTGGAGGACAGAGGAGGCACAGCAGTGTGACCAGAGAAGATTTTGGGGAGAGGAAGTGGTGTAGAAAGGAAGGTGGACGGCAGTATAGTCAGACATTGTTCACATCTAAGTGGTCTGCGGCTCTGTTTTGCAAAGAATCACACCACTGAGACAGGAAACTGGTATCCAGCGCTGCTGGTTTTGGCTTTTCGCCACTTTCTCTAACCACTGTGTTATGTCGACTACACTGAATAACACTGAGAACTTCATTAGATTAGCCGTTAGAAAATTATTTATTGAGGGCTGGGTTGTCTCTGCTTTCTCCTTCTCCTGGAACAGACCACAGGACTGATTCTGCTCTCTCTCTGGAACAAAAGGTGCTCCAGGGAACATAAACATAGTGCTGAGCTCCAACCATTAAAAAAGGTACAATGTGTAATATCTGGCCATGTGCTCCAAACAAATAGGGGTCAGCATCTCTCCCCTACTACGGTCTTTAAAATCTAACACCAAGGATACGTAAAAGTGATGCTGAAACTCTGAGAGCTGGTCAAAATAAGACAGCTATCTTATCATGTGGCCTTTAGTTTACAATAGCCACCTGTGTGTGTACTGTGCCACTAACCGGGGCTGCACGCTTGATAGTTTGTTTATTGGATTAAATCCAAAGTGGCAGAAACGAGTAAATTACTCATATTATCGCTTCCACCTGCCACCAGAAGTCTACTTTGTCTGGAGGAGTGCGCACGCCAGCTCCCGAAAACAAACCTTCAGTTAGCGGAGCTGTTTTCTGGTTTCTGCCACTTTGGATTAAAGCCAATAAATAAACTATCAAACACGTGACATACATGGTACTTGTACTGTTAACGTGATTGACAAACCCTCTTCGCCCTCTCGTGTTAGTCTGAGGACAGATGGATGCTACAGTGACTCATCGCCTCTCGAGGGAAAAGCGGTAAAACAAGACACGCCGGGTTAGCGTGCTCATTTCAGTAGATATCTCTGCAACACAACACAGACACGTCTAACCCTTTAACACTCTGTTGGTAATGTGAAGTCATGTTTTGAAGGTTTTAAACTGGCCATATCGTACACATTGCACCTTTTAAAAGGAATAAAACGCCCACATCTTCCTCACTCAGCAGTGAATTGTTGCCACATGAAGCAGCTGTCTGGGAAACCGCTCAGTGTTCCTGTGCACAGCTAGCTCTCTCCAAAACCACAGCAATTCACAGTGACACAAACACGGATACTGTCGTCAGATAAACATGAACATTGTGATTGTATCAGCTAGTGTGAGGATGGGATTACGAGGGACGGGACATGATTTGAAGCTACAGTCACAACAACAAACTAATGCTTTTAACATGGATAATGTTTCATTCAGCACAGATATTACTGCGTTAGCAAGCATAAGTATCATTAAACTGATTAGCATTTTTATGCTACATGAACATAAACTCAGAACTGAAACTGAGGCGATGTTGTAATGTGTTGGGTGAAGTGTTATATTGAATTTTCTGTACTTTTAGTATCCATTTCCAAACATTTGTAACCCTCCAATAGATTTAGTGTCACTCACTTAGAGGTCTATTCTCGCAGGACTCGGCAGAGAAAAGTTACTATCCTCCCACTTTTATGAAAATACCAAGAGTGCACTTGCACTTGAATGCTTTGTCAGATTAAGTTTGACTTTGAGCTTCACTTTAGATTAAAAAAAAACAATACAAGAGAGCAAATAAATCAAGAGTAGGGAGAGTTTCCATGAATTATTGTTGGGTAACCTTGTATGTTTGTTAATCAGTCCACAGCGTCAGGCTCTACTCTAGTACAGGTAGACTGTTAGTTGAATATTTACCTTTATAATCTATTAGTATAGACCTGACCTTTCCTCCGTGTGCTGTATTAATCAGTCATCAGTTATTAGTCAGTTAACGAGTGGTTTACCTTCAGCTGGGTGTTGAATGCGTCTATTTCCAGCAGCTTGGCCCTCGTCTCTCTCTCCACCGTGTCGAGCTGCTCTCTGAGCTGCTGTCTGCTCATCTCCTTCTGCTCCACAGCCCTCTGCAGGGACGACAGGCTGTCACCTGAAGACACGCAGACAGCGGGAGATCCTTTTAGGTCAATAAGTCACAGAAGAAATGGACCAAATTAGTTAGTTGTAGAATTGACTGTGCGAGTACATTGTGGTAACCAGAGAGTCAGTTAACGAGACATTAGCTTAGAAAAACATGACAACAATATGTTTTTATTACACTAATCCATTAAAGGAAATTCATATATTAAAACCAGAAAAAGTGGAGTTCGAGCTACTGTGAATTCAAAAGTGTAGTTTGAGGAGTACTCACGATGCAGACTGTTCTGTTGAACCTGCTTCAGCTCGTCGTTGAGACATTGTTTATCAGGAATTAGCCTCCCCAACCACTGCTGGGAGTCCTGCAGACAAACATCAAGTCACATCAACACCCAGTTCCTTTTTTCTGTTTATTTTTACAATTGTACTACATGAATAAATTCTACAGTGTCTAAGAACGTGTGTGTTTGTTGGATGAATGGCTGCAGGAATGAACGTGAACTCTTCGTGTTTCCATTCTGTTCGGCGTACCTGCAGCTGCTGTTGAAGCAGGGTGATTTCGGCGATGCGTGTTTCTCTGGTCAGGTTGGTCTGCTCCACCTCTCTCCGCTGAGCCGACAGACGATACCGAACATCCTTCAGCTTGCCTTCCAACTGGGACTTCTTATCATTCTGGAGGATGGGAACGAGAGAGGGAGAGGAATATGATATAAAGTTTCTGCTGCTGTGCAAAGTATTAGGTGACAGAAATAATTTGTTGGTAGCTGTTCCGTTCTTCCTGTTGGCATTAGCTGATTGCTTTTAGCTTATCGTTGTCACACAAACCAACACAGTTAGCTGGGTTAGCTCACAGTTCGCTTGTGTTACCCGGTGTGGGTGTGCATGTTTGATTACCAGAGCCTCCAGTTCAAACTCCAGGGTCTTCTTCCTGGCTTTGAGCAGCACTATGCTCTCCTGCTCTCGGTTCCTTTGAGTCAGAAGCTCCTGGCGACGTTGACGCTCCCACTCCAACTGACGCTGACGCTCTAATTCACGCTTGGCAGCCTGGACGGACCGAACACACGCGACAGAACATTACAGCTCAAACAACAGTATTGCAAAAGATTGGAAATTACATTAATATACTACACACTACAGCCATCTGCTGTATGCGTGTAAATCCAGCTCTTCACTGTAAGAGCTGAGATTTAAAGAGGGCAGTGAAAGGTCTTGAAGTTGTCTGCAGCAGACGTAATTACACATCTGCAGCAGTTAATCGTCAACTCGAGCAGAACTCTTCCAATTAAAATGCAGAAACCTGGTAATTATGTTTTCTCCCTCATACCTCTCTCCTCTCTATCTCTTTGCGTCTCTCCTCCTCTCTGTGCCTCTCCAGCTCTCTCTGTCTCTCCAGTTGTTTTTCTAACTCGTGTTGTCGTCTCCTCTCCTGCTCCAGACGCTCGCGCTCCTGAAAAACAAACACAAACGTCTCTATTGTTTGTTACGGGTCACCCCGATGCACTTTCATTTCCTCCTAGTTTCAACACTTGTCGTAAAGATAAATAACTTACTGATTAATTTTAAAGACACGGGACACTGTGGCTGATACAGTGAAAGGACTGTGGTCGTTATGAATGCAAACATTTTACAGCCTGATACACGAGCCATCAGCCGTAGCCAATTCAAATTCTGCAGGCCCACAGTGTGGAGATGAGAAATGAACACAGTCAGAGGAGTCTACCTTTCTGTCCTGCTCCTCCCTCTCCAGCATAGCCAGCCTCTCCTGCTCCTTCCTCTGCAGCTCCTGCAGAGCATGACGTCTCTTCTCCAGCTCCAGGTTTCCTCGCTCAAAGTTCTCCCTCTTCTTGTCCTCGAACGTCACTGAGAAGACACAACGGGAGGGAGTGTAAACAACAAACAGAAGCTAAAGATGCAACACATGGTGTCATGTTTCTGGCCCTGCTTAAGCACCAAGAAGTAAACTCACTATTCGGCTTTATTTCTCAAATAGGATTGCAACAACTTGAGAAAGTTTTGCAAATACATATTTCCAGAGAGGGGAAAGACCACAACGCGTGAATGAATATTCTGCTGTATTTCAAACTACCAGAACCTTTCGCATGGAGCTCATAGGAAACAGACAGGAAGTGAAGGTGGATTTGGATTGGAAAAAGCACTTTCATGCTTCGTAGGCAGCTGAGCTAACCGATCACAAAAACAACAATTGCAGAAGTTTCTCTGGAAACAGTTTGCAGTTTGTTGAAGCATTCTTGTTTATCAAAAATCAAAGCCGGGTCTTGAAGCAAACACAGTCCCAGTTTGACCAGTAACATGATGAAATGACCAATCACCTGGTAGTTTCTGGCTGCTCTCCGCCTCCTCCTCCACCTCCTCCTGGACGCTCTTCTGGTCCGACTGAATGCTGTCACTCCGCACGCGCCTTTAAGACACACACACACAAATTATCAACACACACGGTAGGTACAAACTGCTGTTAAATCAATACTCACAAGTATTTACCTGAATGTGGGTGGGAGGTAATCTGGTGGTAACACGGGGGGCAGCGGTAAACCTGACATCGCCATATCTATGAGGTGCATGGCTAAGATGAACTCCTCTGCTGTTAGCTTTCCATCCTGGTCGATATCGGAGAGACTCCTAAAGGGGAAAGGAATGAAACAGACTAATGTCTTCTTCGTGTACAGAAGATTAAATGGTTGAATGTCAATGTACTGACCATATCGTGGCCAGCTGGCCCTGAGGGAGACTGGACTGCATCAGGATAGTGCGAGCCTGAGGACCTGAGAGACAGAAACCAAACACATTCAATACTGTGGCAAACATTAGAGAAATATCAGCACGAATAATGACATGTCAGTGTGTGTGTGTACCTGTGAGGTGTCCACTCATCATCTTGTCATGGGAGTTAAAAAGCTGTCTGTACTTGAGCCTGGAGGACTGAGGAACAGCCCAGTCACAGGGCGGCTGAACGCTGTGACGAGTAACCGAAAGTAAAGAACAGAGATCAGTAGTGTGACTATAAAATAAACACACTTGATGCAAAAGGGCCGAAAGACAAATTAGGAGAGGAAAAATAGTAACAATAGGTATATATTTACCACAAATTTGCTCATTTTAGTATATATTTATGAGGTAAAATGGTGCAAACATTTCTGATAACGTGTCCTACCTGGCAACGTCCACGGACTGCCCCTTCTGCAACTTGGTACTGGAACGATTAAACGACGAGGGAGCTGAGAGAGACGGAGGACAGTAGATTGTAGTCTGAGGTCCGACACTCAGCTTCTTCACAGTGTTACATTAAGTTCAGTCAGTCTCTGGTCTGTGTCTCTTTTGACTTCATGTTGTCCCAAACACATGGGAACCCAGCTGTACTCTCCTCAGACTTTCTGCCCAAACCCCATGCAGCTTATTTAAATTTAACTTCATGGAGCGAGAGAGAGAGAGGCACGACTCCTTCCTCAGATTAATATTTAGCAGGCTCATTCGCCATTTTGAAGGATCTGCGTGTTAAGTATAATTTACCCCGATCTCATTTATTCTGCTCTTTTCAAGCTCGTGATTATGCTCCTCTGCACATATTTTACATCTCAGCTTCCAGAGGGCTCTCTCGTCATTGAGGTACTTTCTCTCCCTAAGGCGTGCTCTATATGACACGATTAAATTCATCATCCTCGGGTGTGGCCTCTCTTGCGCTGGTTAGGGGTAATTGGAAAAAGGAGCTTGACAGAAGAAGGGTGGGAAGAAGCGGATTACCTCTTTAACTCGAGTTAAAATCTAGGTCCTGCATATGGGCCATTTTACTGGTTATGATACCTGCCAATTTTCTACTGTTCAGGGTCGCCGGAGCCGATCCCAGCTGACATTGGGCGAACGCTAATTGCAGGAACAGAGAACCATTCACACTCTAACCTCTTACCTACCTAGAGTAATCAATCAGGTCTTTGGACTGTGGGAGGAAGCCGGAGAACCCGGAGAGAACCCACGCTGACACCGGGAGAACATGCTAACGCCGTCCAGCCCGGGAATCGAACCCTTGCTGTGAGGCCGCCACCCTTTGGCAGCCTATCATCTCATATGTAAATATCTCTCTGGACCCAAACTGACTCTCAATGTATCTGTTTCTTTCAAGTAAGTACCTGGAGCATCCTTCACTATTTTATTTTAAATGATTTACTTTAGTGTTTTGTATGTGCGCGTTTTGTTCTCAGTCTCTTTCTGACTTTGGGATAAAAAAAAGAAGCAAACATTGAATTCAAAGCTGATTGGTTACCTCTCCTTAAAAAGTTAACGTAACTATAAAACAATAACCTGCTACTAAGATGAGCCGATCCGTCATACAGACATAAAACAGTGATTTTGAACGTGTTCATTAAGCTTAGAAATGAGACGTTTTAGTCCAAACACACAACATAAATACCTGCGAAGCCTGAGATGGGCTGCATCATGCCTGTGGGAGGGGCTCCGTTGGCGATGGGCGGTGGGAGGGGAGGAGGGGCAGACGAGACGAGTGGGGGAGACACTCCGACGGGGAGGGGAGGCAGGGGGAGTGGAGCAGCCGAGATGGGAGGCATGGGGGGCATGGGAGGCATACCTGGAGGAAAACAGAGATCAGAGAGAGTTAATACCTCTCTAGTGCTGAAGTACACAAGCTGAAGGAGAGGAGCATTATGACTCTTTACAACTTTATTGATCAGCCTTGAAGGTGAAGCAGACTTGAGCGTGAGCAAGCATTTCCTAAATGTCTAAATACATCCGCAGTGTTTTCACCAGTACACACAGTTTTACCACAGCCTACCACAGGAGAAGCAGTTGTCACATGAAACAATAGCAAAAGATGATATCTCTGTTATTACATTAAACTGTGTGCAGAGGTTCTTCTGTATTAACTTAGCAGCAGAGATCATCATCAGGAAGAATGAAATCAAACGATCATTGTCGTTAGTTTCTACAGTAAATCACAACCTAAAACATCGCGTAGATGCAATGCCAACACGCTGTGTGATTGTCTCCGTGTCTCACCAAAGCCGCTCTGTGGGGGTAAAGCCAGTGCGGGTTGTTTCATGCTGGGAGGAAGCTGGGGGGGCAGAGGGTGACCTTGGAGCTTCAGCTTGATGAGCTTCATGGCGATGGAGAACTCGTGGATGTCCATACGACCATCGCTGTTCATGTCAGCCAGAGCCCTTCAAAAGGTACACAGAGGAAACGTTTAAAGAATGATGCTACAAGACGATGTCCGTCGGTCGGTGAATGAGTAGAAACTTCCTGCCTGTGTGACTCACCAGATTTGGGCCAGGATGGGGGGGGGCAGACCTGATTGAAGGAAGAAGTTCCTGGCTTGGTCGCCTTGAAAAGACAAAGAGAAACAGGAAGTGAGATCACAGGACAAATCCAAAAAGAAAAGGCCAATTTAGATCACGTGGAGACCGCCAGAGCCCATTTAACAATACAGAAGTATTAGATCTTATCTTCACGTTTCTTTTTTGCACTTTGTCCCAGCCAAGACAATAATACAAACGATGTCATCAGGTGATGTTAACTTAAAAGGATTAGTTGATTAATCAGCCGCCAGACAAAATATTAATCAGCAACATTTTTGATAGTTTAAGTCGAATGCCAAACAGTCTTTTAGTCTTCTATGAAACAGACAATGTTTAGGTGTCGGGCTGTTAGACCAAACATACAATTGAAATATATACTAACTTGGGCTTTATTCACCATTTTCTGAAATGGATTGATCAAGAAAACAACTGGATCATAATCAAGACAATTGTTAGCTGTGAATGTGCTGAACGACACACAGACGAGGGGGACAGGACCTTGAAGGACACGAAGCCTCCTTTATGTCCTCATCTCACCTTACACTGTGTGTGTGTGTGTGTAGGTGAGATAAAGAGAGACAGAGCGAGAGAGAGACTGTTACCTGTGATGTAACCCCCGGCAGTCGGAGAGAGGCTGAGAAACTGCTGATCATGTTTGACTCTCTCATCCACGGAGATCAGGAACACATCTGGACCCAACACACACACACACACACACACACACACACACACACACACACACACA